TCTTTGCTTAAAAATCTTTAAGTCCAGTTCCTTAAGGATATAAACTGTTTGCTAAAATCCCTAATCATAAATTTATTTATTTGTTCTTTAAAGGGGGAGAATGGTGAGGAAAATGGAAAGCTCATGGTTGACATCAGAAGTCACAAGATGAGTTCATCATTTGTCCAACTGACACTTAGCTGCTAAAAGAAGTCACACTGTTAGAGGGCAGTTGAGGAGAGAGTAAGTCAGGAGGTTTCCAGTAACATGACTGCAGGGGACTCAGACACAGGCTAGTCACACAAGTTGCTTAACTGTCCATGGACCCTTAGCCCGCGACTTCAGGGCTCAGCAGCTTCCTCCTTCACGGCACCAAACCTTGATGTGAGGGATGCAAAGACACATTCATAAGAATTGTGGGTTTGTCCTTACTCAAAACTGGAGGGACTGGCTAGAAAACAAACCAACCAAAACAAGGGCCTTATCCCTAAGTGAAAGGGATTCTGTATTAACTGTCAATTACATCAACATATAAAATATGTATAGGAGATGTAGTTCCATAGGCCGTCGAGGTCAAACAAAATTAAACTAAATGGCTAGGAAAACTATATGGCTTTTATCTTTGTAAAGAAAAGAATATAAGTGCATTGATTTTAGGTAGAGGGATTTATACAACTTTGTCATGGTTGATTTAATCATCAATGACTGAAAATGTGGGCCTGAGATAAGAGTCTTATAGTGTACCACGTGAAGTGAAGGAAACCACGTCAGTCATGGCGTGGACATAGTGAGAAATTCTGGGATAGCCTTGATGCTGCCCTGGGGACCCTGGGTCCACACAGGGCAAGGCATCGGCTTTCTTGCGGGGCTCACCAGAGACTCTTTCAGTGGAGGGTTTCTTGGTTTCCATGTTTTGTTTCTGTCATGTAGACGAGCCGGAGTTAAAGCCAAATCCTTCTGAATGATTTTGGTTTTGCCATTTTTAGAAGATAATCATCAGACTTGGTGAAAAAAGAGTGGTTAAAAGAAAGTCTTTCTATTTTTCAACTTTTCTTTTTCTTTTTTTTTCCTTTTTTTTTTTTTTTCTGAATGGAAGATTGAGTGATGAGGTAAAGCAAATTTATTCTTTCTTGGAGAGAGACCCTGCCTCCCACCCTATCCCCTTTTGACCATTGCAAAATAGCTTAGTCCAAAGGAAGAGGAGAAGACAAATGAGTGAAATAATGCCAGAGTCTGTGATTGCCAGGAAAAACACACTCTGATGCAGTTAATTGGTTCTGTGAATGCCAAAGGCTGTGATTCCCAATTAACTAATTTTAAGAAGCCATAACTGAAAATAGCTGTGCGTGTATCAGCGCTAAAGCAAACGTCTCATGGAGAGTAGGAACTTCAATGAAGAGAATAGGGACCCTGAAGAGGTGCTGACGTCTGTTTAAGATCGTCTGGCCAAATAAATCCATGTTGGCTTCGATTTTCAAACAAGGTTTAACCCCTTCAGAGACGCTGCATGGGAGTGAGAGGCCAGGGGACAATCCAGATATTCTGGCAAGAGAAAATGTCCCACACATCCCAGATTTGTGTCTACCCAACTTACTAATGACAGAAGCATCCATACGAGTGAGTCTCTTTGGGGAAAAAAAAGACGCTCCCTTAGTTCAAGTGGAATTAATTAAAACAGGCATGTCATTTGCAGTATTTCCAGCTCCCTCACTGAAAGACTCCATGCATATAAACCAGAACCGCTCGAGCAGCTAAGTAAAGCTTGGCCAAAAATGACTCCACCACCTCGCTCCCTCCTCTCCCTTTGTGTTGGAATGGAAAGATACACTAATAACACTCCTTTAAAAGGCAGAGCACTCAGGGTTTCTGTGTGATTGTTAGAGCTCTGATTACCTTTGAGTAGAGTTAACATAAAAATATATATGCTCTTAAAACTCAAGATCATAACTTGCTAATGAAGTCGCAAATTATCCAGAAGAAAACTAAGCCCAGGCACATGCCGAATGGCAGAATCTCTTGCCCCTAAAAGCTCGGTTATTGCCTTTGTAATATTAAAGCCCAACAGGGAGCTGGCGGGACACCTTTTGTGCTGTCTTGTCATGTTTTGAGTTTTTGGTTTCAGATAAAAGAGGAGAAAGGGCCCTTAAGAAAGCGAAGAACTTTGTTGGGGGGGGGGACAAACTTCCTTCTCGGAAAGCTAAGAGTTGTTTTCCTGGAGATGATGGATAATGGCATTTCAACTTTTTCAGTTTTTAAATAGAGAAAACAGAAGTAAATCAGGTAGGGAGTAGAGAATGTATAAATAAATAGAACAAGGTGAAGTTTCGACAAGAGCTTCCCTCCATTTTTTTTTCTTTCTCTCTCTCTTTCTTTCTTTTTCTTTTTCTTTCTTTTTTTGAAATTCTAAACCCCATTTCTGGCTTGTATTTGGTAGGATTCCTGCTCTGGCTTTTATTAAAAACAGACTTTATGCGGTCAGAATTCTCCATCTAAAGCTAGACTTTAATAGGCCTGGGGATCCTGACGGAGTCTTTCTTGCTCTCTCTCAGGTGACACCCCCTCTCCCCTGGGGTTCCCCTCCCAGTGCGCTAAGCTGGCATGGAAACTTGAAGTCTCAGCACAAAACAACCAACTTTCCTCTTTTACTCAGTACTCTCGTTTCTGTTTTAAATTTGGTACTCTCTTACAAGGCCAGATCAGGTTAAGTCTGATTCTAACTTGACATATTCTAGGAATTTCAAATAGTGCAACCGTTGTCTTATAAATCCCCCAAGGCAGTCTCGTGCAACCGGGAGGCTCCCCTTCCAAGCGGTGCTGCCCATGCAAAGCCATCAGCTAGCTCAGGCTCCTGGAACTCACACGGCCCCTGTGTGCGTGTGAGCTTGAAAATACCAAGGGCAACTCCGCCCGCTTAACAAATCAATTTAGCATTCAAGTCATTCGGAGGTTGATTTTTCTGAAGGGTATTGGCAAGCTAGCTTTTCCAAAACCAAGAGGTAAAGCAGTCAAGCAAGCAGGCAAGACATGCAAATTCATTCCCAAGGACGGGCACCACCAAGTGGCTCTGGTCCCTTCTCATAGCTAGACAGACAAGAATCGGTCCTGTGTGGGGCTTCGCCTTCCCACTGTCAACTCCCCCTCTTCAGGGGCCTCCATACCTTCCTGGCACAATGGCAGATACCTTCCGAGTCAACCTGAGGTTTTTCTGAAACACTAAATTTGATCTTTCTTATAGTGAGGCTCAATGCTAAAATTCATGTTTGTTATGCAAATGGAAAAATTCTTTTGAATACTGCCCATCAGTGGCTCTTGAGTGGAGAGGAATTTTACTCTCCTAGGGGACACTGATGAAGTCTACAGGTATTCTCCGTGGTCATAACTGGGAGAGTGCAACTGAAGTCTAGTGGGAAGAGGCCAGGGATGCTGCTGAATCTTCAACACGGCACATGACAGCCCCACAACAAACGTGGTTGGGAGACTGAGTTCTGGAGTCAGACTGCTTGGAATGGAAGCCAAGATCCACTAGGGACTGCTGAGCACCCTAACCTGGGTACCTCACTTGTAAGAGGTGGATAACAACCCATCAGGTTGTTGGGAATGTTGTACAAAATGTACAAGCAAAGCTCTTAGGACAATGCCCAACACATAACGAGAGCATAATCAGTGTTGACTGTTACTATTCGTACCAGAAATTCAGCTCAGTCCCAAATACTGTAAGCTAAGCCTATTGAATTAGGGAAATAGGTAGGGTCAGAGTGTATCTATCCTCTTTGATTAGGACCAAAATGATGGTAACAGTAGTAATAATCACATTCTTTACAGTTTGTCAAACTCTTTCAAATACCTCATCTCAAACCTCTGGCAACAACCTTGTTGAATTTTTCCTATTTCAAGGACAAGGAACTCCTGTCTCGGAGACCAGAGAGGTACCCAAGATCTGCAGCCACCCAGGTCCTCTGCTTGTAATCTGCTACTCCTGCTATGACATCCTTTGTTTATTAAAGTCCCCCTTCTTCTCCTCATTGTACCCAACAATCTGAAGATCAAAATAAAATGTAGGTGCCACCATTAGTGGATGAAGCGACCCAGCCTTCATGGGAGGTGGCCGTCAATTCTGTTTCTGTAGTACGTGTATCAGTTAGACTTTCATTCACGGATCATGGCAATATTGTAATTCTCTGAATTTAGTTTTTTAAAAATTAACTTTACTTGTGGGCTAATTTTCTTCCCTTTTTAAATTTCTAATTTCGAGGGGGGAAAAACCCTTAATATTTTAAACCTTAACTGTGGTTATAATCATTGTATAGATTTGGACTGTAAATGTATGAAGGTGAGAATATTGCCTCAAGTGTATGTCTCCAGTTCCATTCTTCATTAGCTTTATTGTTTCACAATTAGCCTGAAAATCTGCTTATTACTGTCAACATGAATTATTCAAAGGTACCCTGAGCTATCTCATGATGTATGGGCAGTGCCTGCACACAGCAATCAAGAGGTCTATGTTAAAATTTCCATGCATTGTTTTTAAAAACCCTGGAATTTACTCAGCCTACCTTAGAGGTATAGTAATATTCAGTACAAGGATCACAGTTCAGAGGGCAGATGGATAAAATTCCTTAGGTCAGTGGTTTTCTAGAATTCCTCTGGTAATGGAGAAGCCCAGGCCCAAGCCCATGACTCTCTCATGGCCCAGGAAGCACACAGATTACCACAGGCGGCCGCAGCTCTTTTGTTTCAAAGCCTTCAGTCAAATTCTACCAACAGCTGCCAAAATGTCATTCATGGGGACCCAGTCTACTTGGTCGCGTTCTGTGCCAGTTGATAAATGAGAAACTTTAATGACCACATATGGTATTTAAATGGCGTAACAGGCTCAGCAATTTTCCTTTGGTCCCCTCCAGTGTGAAAATTGCAAACATGTATGATAAGATCTTTGCCGTTTGGGGTTTCAAATGAATTCTGTCTGTCATGCTATGAGAAGGGAACCAAAGAGCATCCCCCCCAACTCCCTGGCGCCTTACCTTGGAACGCTGGGCGGGGCCCGGGTGGGCCGCGATGGGACTTGCGGAGGGGCTCCAAAGGAGTCGCTGCTGTTGGGAAAAGGAGGTAATGGGCCGGGACGGAATGGGACAGGGGGAGCCCCCGAGTGGGGGCCCGGGGAGGGAATGGCCGGTGCTGGTCCCCGGCCGGATGCTGGCCTGGTGAGAGGTGCGCTCAGAGTTGGCCTCCTTTGGGTTGTGGGGCTTGGAGGAGGTGACCTGAGGAAAAAGACAAATCCTAGTCACTCACTCCCACTTTCAGTGTGAACTAGTCTTTAAAAAAGTTTTATAACTTCCTGACTCCTTTTTCAAAATTATTTTTTGATTTGAGTAACTCAAGATACGTGTTATGAAAGTCAATACTGTTATACTGTCATGTTTCCCTCCCTCCACCCCTTCACTGTGGGCCGGTGTCTTTGGGCGTCCCTTTCACTACGTCCTGCATATGCACGAGTGTGCATTTTCTCACTATATATATACATATATACATACATGTATATATATATATATACATAGATATATATTGCATTTTTAGACATCATAAAACACAATGTCCTACAGCATCTTTTTTGTTAAGCTTCACTTTAACTGCATTACCTTTTCATTTACACCATAAGGACCCTGTCTTACTCTGTTGAATGACTGCCTAACAGTTGTGATAAGGGACTGTGCTTACTCTTGAAGGAAGTTGGTGGGATCTGACCCTCTCACTCCCGGATGTAAACAGCATTTTCCTCTTTCTCCCTAGGTTCGCATAGGTTTAGTAAAGCACTGTCAGAAAACGACATGGGACAGCATAGCAGGCCCCAGGTGTCGTGGGGCCGGCTTCCCACCTGCGAGAGTGCTGTATCCAGGAGTCATCCACCGGGGGCGGGGCGGGGGTGGACACAGTGGCTGTGTTGATGTCGCCGATGATCACAAGGGCCTCCTTAAGGGCTTGGTACATTCGAAGCATCTCATCCCGGCGCTGCGCCTGCTCAGCTGATTCCTCCATCAGCGTGTTTTGGTCCTCTGAGGAATACAATTGTGCTAGGAGCTCTGAATTTATGAAGTCTTTAACCTGTCAGATTACCACAGAAAAATTAAAGCGGTCATGAACGAGTGATGGGGTGGTATAAACATGGCAGTGACGTTCAGGGACTGTGGGCAAAAGTCCACCAGCGTCCCCCCTGGGAGAAGGAAGCATCAGGGATCTGTTTGTGCTGATTTTTGTTGTTCTCCTCCCTGTCCTTAGTACTGGTACTGGTAACAGTTTCCCTCTGTGTTCTGGCTCTTGATTCTCAAGGATAACATGGAGGAGTCAAAGAGAGACCAAGCCCTGCCAGCGCCCAGACAGAACCTGTTTGTGAGGTGTGCAAGCCTATCAGTGGTCTGATGCTGTGGGGCTTACGGGAGAGGGAAAGTGCCATGTGGTAAGCAGCTGCATTTTTAAGAGAAAAGAAACCCACGTAATAACACAAGTTTTCTATCCTTTGACATTTCCAGTCCTTTACTTGGCTTTTACCCCAAATCCCTGGAAAATTATTAAAATTCTAAGTTTCAGTATTGTCTCAAACGTGGAAATGGCACTAAGAAGTCTGTATTAAATACCAAACCTTATATAACTTTATGCATGTTGATTTACAAACAAGTGAAAGAAATACGCTTTGTTTTCTCAAAGTTTAGTAGTTAGTTTGCAATGACGAGCACAGACATGATGTTTCCTAGGCGACAGATACATAAAAACGAACTAAAGGATGAAAATATATAGGCGTCTTAAAGGAGGGGCATTCTGTAGCAGGATGAGAATGGAGAGGATGACTATGGAGCGAAACACAGGGGAGAGAGCGCCAACCACCATATTTCATCAAATCTGAGACACCAGTGATTTAAGAAATGCCATTATTTGCCACATTAAAATAGGAAAACAACCCCCCCCCACCAATTTAACATCATGATAGAATGTCATGATGTTACTGAGTATAAGATGCATCTTCATTTCAGAAATATTAAACATAAAAAAAGTTGAGTGTGAAAATCAATGCAAAGCAGTAGACCCCAAGTGCCTTTTCAAGATATGTGCCTTAACGCTCAACAGTCATAAAGATGAACCGTGTTATTATTCCATTACAGATGTATAAACAAGCTCAGAAGGTTTAAGTAACTTGACAAGGTCACATAGCATTAAACCCAGTCCACAATCTTCTGACTTGAAGTCTAGTGCTCATTCTGCTACCCAGTTATCCGGCTGTGGTTGAGGGCTTGGGAAAGACAATTTATGTTTGAACGTTATTGTTTTAGAATGGTGCAGCAAGTATATATCAATTAACTTAAGCCTAGAAAAATAAGCTGATTTGAATTTTTCAGTTTCTCTGTTACATGAGAAAGCTACCTCTTATCTAGAGTCACTGAACACCTCTAAGACAGGCCAAAGGCAAGCAGGGTTCATTGTTGGAAATTCAGACAAACAACAGAACGCCTGTCAGATGCCCCAAATTACTACGTCGTGTTAAATCTGTTACTCGGAAATGGCAAGAGTCTAAAACATATAGCTTCGTAATCTTTGAAAGGTATTAAAACATGTAAATGATTCTACTAATAAAAAATTCAGCTAAACCACAGCTTCATTGTGGTGAAAGTGTTCCCTGCACATCTTTTGTAAACTAAGACAGATTAAATGTGGAAGTAATGGAATATACAAGATTTATTCAGAGAACTGTCTGGTGGAGTAAAAGGTTTATGTATGATGGTGTGGAAGGTAAATTTGGCCAGGAAACCTGGAACAGACGTGAAGGCCTTAAATGCCAAAGAAAAAGTGCTTAAACTTTCTCCACTCAGCAGTGCAGAGCCATGGAAAAATCTAAAGCAAGAACATGAAACAGTAAATGAGAGGTTTTAGGAATGGTCGTGACAGAAAAATAATTTTCAAGGGTGAGAGTGGAGAGAAAGAAATCTGTTAGGTTATTGGAGATTATTTACAAGATGATAAGGGTTTAATTTAGCAATGTTGCAATGGGATAGAAAAGATGAGCACTTACAGATGTCATCAGAAGGGAAAAGTCAACTGGTTTAGGTGCCGTTTGGATGTGAAGGGCAAGAAAGAAAGGAACGACCAAAGATACTTCAAGCATCGATATTTGGGGCCGTGGGAGAATGGATCAATATCAAGAAGGAAAGTCAGATTTAGAGGAAAGGCAGGAAATTTGGCTTTAGGAATATTTCATTCCCCTCCTTAAAGATTTATTCACTTCTGAACACACCTGCAGGTACCCAAGGAGTCATGGACATTTGCACAGATTTTCCATTGTTGGGTACGCACTTGGATAGAGGGTGCAATTCAAAACTCAAAACCAGACAGTTTTCCTGGCATTGACCGTCAGCTGGGTTAAGCGCCTTTGAAGCTTTACATCTTACTGGAGTCTCACTTAGACTCTATTAAACACAATTTAAAAGAAGATTCTTCCAAGAGCAGATTTAAAGCAGATCTGAATTAAGAATCAACTGTCAAACAAACCATGATTTAAAATAAGGGCCTGTTTCTGCATTTTGATCAAAAGTTCTGTCTTGAATCTTTCACATCCAAATCCGTGTTAAAACTTGCCTACTACATGAAAGCTTTGGCGATGTTTTAAAATAACATGAGCATTATTAGCATTGGAGAAAATGGTAGTGTGGCCCAGTAGGTTCAGAACACAGGCTTTGGAATCATGTAGCTCTGGATTTGATCCTAGCTCTAACCTTTATTGTTCTTGGGCCAGTAACTCAAAGTCTTTGGGTCTCAAGTTCCTCATCTGTAAAACAAGGATAACGGGAGTGGCTACCTCCAGAGTTGTTGTGAAGATTAAGTGAAAGAACAAATATAAGTTGCCTAGCACAATGCCTGGCATACAGTTGGTGCTTAATAAGAAAAAGCTCTGATTTTTCCTGCATATAGGATAGATTGGCATGAGGTACACAGGAGCAGGGGGGAACAATAACAACTATTTCATAGTGTAGGTATCAAGTGACATAAATCCAGAGAATAGGTTAACGTTTTATTTTGCATTTAAGCAAAATTGTAGAGAAACTCCTTCTCCTCTCCTCTTGCTAACCTAGCCTTGTGATGCCACTTCAGCCTGGAACAAAGGTAGGGGGACTTTCCAGAGGCTTCAGGGACTTTCTGAGCGGTCTGTATGTCAGGGGTACAAATATGAAAATCGAGGCTTCTGCACAGCAGTCAGAGGCCACGTGGGTCCCTTTTTAGATGACAGCATTTAGAAAATACTTCGCAGGACATAGCAAAGTAATTACACTTGGACGTGAGATTTCAAAAATATTTATGTTTTTAATTATAACACCTTATAACCTATAGGTCTTTGTATAGTTTGCAAAAATTCTCACACACAAAACCTCATTCCAGCTCAAACTCTCCAGGCTAGATAAACAGGCACTATGGTGCTGGGCCGCTCTGCTCTGCGTAAAGGAATGTGAGGTCGTTAAAAGTCCCACATGTTTCCCCCCCTTTCTTACTTTAACCCTTCTCTGGCAACCTGTGATACTTTTGGATCTTGAGCCTTCTTTGTTAAGACTCAGGCCATTTTAAAGCCTTCCCCAGTAGAAGAGGCATTTCTAGGGTTTTCGTACAGTTTAGTTACCAAGGAAACCATTTCCTTAACATCTCTTTGTGTCTGGTATGGGGAGGGTCGTGTTGCGGAACACAGTGCTGTCTCTCATTCACATGATACACGGACGTGTATCAAAATTGAATGGAGAAGTCTAACTTTGCTTAGTTTGGTGGAAAAGGCTTGGTGAGAATTTTGTGATTCTTCAAGATCTCACCATTCTCCCAAACCTACTTATCCCTCGAAGTTTTCTTTCTTTAAAAAGCACCATCCCTTGACTCACAAACATAACATTGAGCCTAAAGTTAGACCACCACCCCCCAACCACACACTGTATGATTTTAAAGTTCAACAGCACATAAAACTTAAATCAGGAGAGTGTCACCCTGAGTGGGGAGTGATGGTGGGAGGCTGGGAGGCAGGGGACAGGACAGTGGGGCTTTGGGGGTCCTGGCTGTAATCTTTTTTCTTGAGCCAAAATGCTGAGTTCTCCACCCGTGGAAACAAATCAGTGCTCGACATTCCAGAATAAAGCTCTGGTATTTAAGATGTACTTTCCCCTCGAATAATGAACATTTAAAATAACACTTTACTTCATACACATTAAAGTTACTGTGAGTTTTGAAACAAGGGCACATGTTATTAATTTTCCACCAAAGTGCCAATGGCTGAGGAGAGTGAATATGGACCTCCAGGGGTCCAGGGGCACAAGCAGTGCACGCCCCAAGTGCGAAATGCCTTTAGGTTTCACGTTTGATATTTTAAAAAATTCATAAAATGTTTATATCCTATTTCATGTTATCTGGGTTTGTAAAATTTAAAACAATGTTTCTCATATTCAAACAAATCCTAATTAAATCTTCAAGTAAAATTAACCCTCTAGGAAAATAACCAATGTGTCCCCTGTGAGGGTAGGAGTCCTCCAGCTTGAGAGGGCTGACGTGGAGTTTTCTTATCCCTGGCGTATGCATTATCTGATGTCGAAATGGAGAGAAGGCCAGACTCGAAGTGAGCAGCCCTGGGGATCAGCCTTGACTCTGCCATCCCCAGCTGTGTGATCGTGGGCAAGTCAACCTGGGGGGGCCTCAGTTTCTTCATTTATAAGCTGGGGAAAATACATGGCTATCCAATGGGTTGTTGTCCAATGTCCAGCATGTTCAAACAGGATTATGTACCATTTTGCCATGCACATTTTTAGAATAAAACCGGGTCCACTTCCTCCATGCTCTCCCAGAGAACTTCTGGTGGGGTGAGTTATGGAGAAGAGGCCATCAGAATGGGCTTACCCCGGGGTGTTATGAGCATGTTAGCTTTAAAGCCCTGAACAAAACTCTGCTGCTTGGGCTGTAGCCCATCCAGAACAACCGTTTGTCATAAACTTGCTATTTCTTTGTGCTGCTGTTACCTGGTATGTTTAAGTAATGAAACAGCTGCTGCATTTCAATAGACAAAGGCTTACAGTATGTCTGAGGCAAGGCATTTATTGCTAGGCTTTAAACTTCTTAAACAATTCCATATGGAGACTTGAGTGGCAGAACACTTAATGTAAACTTTCAAAGGAAACTGCCCACCAAATTCTGAACTTTATGAAAGTTGTCTGAAACATATTCTTTTTCAGAGGGCCGAATTGCCATTCCCTATTTCAAAGGGAAAAGGCCACAGCGTTGCTACCCACATACCGGGGAGAAACACAAGACCCTGTCTGAGGCATGTACTGGTCCTGAAGAAACAATTAGCTTTTTCACTCAGATCCATTTATAGAAGAAGCAACAGGGTTAAGTGGATGGAATTTAGAATTAGGAGTCAAAGGCTTAGTTCTCTAGTTGTGATTTTAATATCCGTTCTCTCTCCTGAATATCTCTTCACTTTAGATCCAATTAAAAAATCAATATCTATACATGACACAGTGCTGGGTGTCCACTGTGCCCTGGTTTCCTTGAACTCAACAGGGCACTTGTCTAATTAAAAAAAAGGGCCTGGGCATTTTGCATAATAAGATGACATGAGAATATGAATACATTTTCAAAAGAGATACCTATTATATATATAATAGTGGGATAGATTTGTCTCATATATACAATTATATATATGAGCTTTAAAGTATATATGTTTTATATATAAAACTAAACCTTTTATATATACTTGCATAGTAAAAAGTAGTACCTAAAAAATACTCAAGTAGTCATTCTAGAATGTAAAGCTAGTTCCTGGTAGATACAAAAAGTCACACTGTTAACAAAGATAACCATAATTTCGTAAGAATTCAGCATTATAGGAGACATCTGCCTTCTTCACAACCCTGTTGGCTTCCGTTTCCAGGTTTGACCTTGGGGATCAGGTCGCGATTGGAGTCCCCCTGTCTCATGACTCTTATGGGAGGCCTCTCTCAAGACAACTAGCAGAGCTTCCCCTCCACGGATAATGTCCTTTGGTGGGGGTTTAGCCATTTCATGAGAGCAATTCAACACACCAGTGAGAGGTGAGGGAAATACCTACATTTCATGTGTGCGAGAGTGTGTGTGTGGGGGGGGTGTTTCTTGAGAAGGTGAAAGTGGGATAGCTTTGCCATAGTCCCTTTTCTTTCTTGTAACTAATTTGTGTCAAGCTACTCACAGCTACAGACAGGAAGTGCTATTTCCTGTGCTGATGATTTAATACAGTGCAGAGCAGAGCAGCGTTTGAACTGATGGCAGCACTAATGACTCTGGGTAAAACAGTGAAAAGATAAATGATCCTTAATCAGGAAAATGTTTAAATAAGCAAATGCCTGGATATACCACACAAAACAACCCAAATTCATTTAAGGGAAGTTGAGAGGGTAATTTTTAAAATACACAGACTATTTGTTTAGTACTTTCTATTTTTCTAAATGGCTTATGGCCACATTTATTACCCTCTCTGACAGCTCTGCGAGCTATCTTGGTGTTCTGACTGTAGTTTCCGAAGGGACTGACTTCAACTCAGAGGGGCAAAATGACTTGCTTCAGGTCACATAGCAGGCCGTTGGTCAAGCTTAAGAATAAAATTCAGTTTCCACAGTCCCAGTTTATTTACCTGCTGGCTGATACTGCAAAGCATTCTGCTAACCTCGTTTGAACACCAAAAACACGTATGGAAAGAGAGTAAGTGAAAAACAAGGTTGTTCACGTGAGTGTGTGAGGTTCCTTATAGTCAAGAAGGCAGATGCAGAGATCGTGGACAAGGAATGGACTGTGATATATAGAAGCAAAATTTCAAAATAAATCTTGAAATATAGATAAGGGTTATTTATAGTTATTAAATAGGCAGCCATATTAATTTCCTACAATTATATTTTTCACAGTATTTGCATATCCCCTGTTTTCTGGGACAAATTCCTAAGTCAGATAGAGGTACTGCGATTCTACATCGGGAGCAAACAGACACATAGAAGTTAAGTGACTCGACTTAGGTCAGCAGAGTCCATAGAAGAAAGAGGTTTTAGAACCCAGGTTTCTCCTAAATTCTACCATGGGGCTCTTTGTACTACTTTGCCATCCAATTTTTATTTCTTACAACCAAGGTGGGTGATGTATCCTTGGTTTAAATAAAAATATGTATCCTTAGAAGATAACGAGGGCTAAAACTGCTGGTGTCTCCCTTGTCAGGATTCAGAAAAGCCCGCTATAAAACACCTCATTATAACCTATCTTATCTAAAAGACAATTTCTCAAATAACTTGCGGTATTATTTGTACTTTTAAAAGTTAACTACCAAAAGAACTAAACCAGACCACCTAATTAAAGTGTGATATCCTGACTATTATAAATTACCCTAAAAAGGGAGCGATTCTAGACAATATAGATCCATTGGTGGGTCGTCTAGCAGAATACTTTTGAGTTATGAGGTTATGTTGTCCTTAAAAGTAAAGTTCACTGACTTTGTATCCAAGGGGATAAAGCAAGAAGCCCTTTCCCAGGTTAAAATAGCATCCTGTAGTTTTTAGAAGCTGAAAATAATCATATTAACATATAATGTGTGTGTGTGCATGCATGGCGTGTGTGTAAGAACAAATATATCCTTGGCCTTTAATCTCAAGGCCTAGGAGACAGGGCATCTGGTTTTATTGCTGGCTTTGCAATTAGTTTACACCATGACCAGGACTATGGCATTTTTGAGCAAATTCACACCCTCCTAGAAGAGAGCCGAATGGAAATATCTTGGTACTATAGCTCGAGGTTTTACGTTTCCTTTCCTAAATTCTCTTTCACTTGTCAGTCACTCACCACTTGTAATGGAAAGTAAGGAACCTGGTAACAGATATGTCAACTACTCAGAAAATATGACAAAAACTCGGAAGACAATCTGTGCAATTTCCATATGAGGATGGGTTAGAAATCAAAGGAAGACCATTTATAAGAACTTACGTTATTGATCATAAGGTGCATTATCGTTTTTGGAATTAGATCGCGGATACATTTGTTGATAATGGACATGTAGGAGTCTACCAGGTTGCGGATGGTTTCCACTTGTCTCTCCAACTGTGGATCCATGGAGAAGTTTTCTGCTTGGCCATTCTCATCATTTTCAGTCTAACAGAAAAGAAACAAAACAGGGATTATCTCATATTTGCCCAGAAGAAAATAAAATACCAGACATTATCAGATGATCAACCTCCGCTTAGCATGTTTGGAGTTTATACCACCATCTGATCTCCTGCCCGCTAATTCTAAGAAGAGATCAGAACTCTGCAGTTATTATTCTACTCTTAGCCTGCCACATTCTGGGCGAAGCAAGTATTCTAATTCTGAATAAATGTTGAGGCGAATAACCAGATAAACAGTGTACCTAACAACATACCTCCAGAGAACAATCTAAATCTTAAATCGTTTGCAAGCTGGCCAAAGAACTGAGTCCAAACATATGATGCAGATCTAAACCTCCAGGGATTCTATAGATTAGAAATAACCTTGGTGTTGTTCTGGCACATCGAGGCTGCTCTGGAATGGATCAACATTTGGATCAACCCAGATTCAAAGCTAAATTTCTCGGACTGGCCGAAAGCCAAATAAGAGATATAGACGATAATTTATTCTTCCACGCACTTGCTGGAATTTCTTATGTAAATTCATGCTTCTGTCATCACTACTAAAGGCTGGCTCCATTGTGAAAAACTTACAATTTTAACTTCCAACTTGTTATTCTTTGAATAAAACAGAACATATCTATACACAAAGAATTTATTTGTACAACATGAGTGGAGCATCTGTTTTCTATACTATGGAACTTGAGTTAATTAATTTTGGCTTATCCACCAGAGGCGGGGTTGGAATGGCATCTTCATCATTAAGGGCTGACCTATTGGCTTGGCATTGAAATCAATTTAGAACAAATGGTCCCCATTTCAAGTCAGGTTGAACCACCTAAACCCTAGAATATGATACAGATATTGTTAGTGGTCTGGCTACTTTCTAGCATTTGGAAAGATTTAATTACGAATGTAAAAAGCAGAAATAATTTATTGCTTCCAAAGTGGATGTAAAGTACTTTTCTTTGGAAATGTACATACTTTGATCTGCCAGGTTTTCAATCGTTCAATCAGTTCTTGGCAAAGCACTGCGCTGCATAGCTTAACTGGATCTATAAATGACAAGCCTTTGCTTTGAACCAATGTGCATGTGTGAAAGGCATATGGATAGGCCACAAAATCGACAATAACAAAGATAGAATCGGTTCTCATAATTTACACAGCCTCCTCTCAATCCGAAAAACCTAATGGTAAAAGAACCACTTTAAGATAATATATGCTCCATTCACTTGCCAATTCTGAGAGTGTGACTCTGTGCTTCAGGGTAACAGCACGAGACTGTCTCTGAGGCATCTTACTGCTACAACCGCAACCTAGGTGATCAGTAGTTTCAAAAAGGACAGTTGTTTCCCTATACTCTTTCTTTCAAAATGGCTTTTGGTCACTGAAAAAAGAACCCTTAAATATTATGTATTCTTTATTTTTATTATTAGATTGTGATGTTGGCCCATTGCACCTGGGATAAATAGACGAAAGACTAAGGTCACAGAGTGGTAAAATGATAGCTCTAAGGTCAGCCATGGCAGTGAAAAAACCAGTCATATTCCCAGACTTCTTTCTGGGGCATAAAAACCACTCTGAATCTGCAGATGCATCCTACCCAGATTCTAAGAGTCAAGGGTAATTGCTATGTTGTTTTAAAGTTATTGTATCTGAACATGAATACATTAGGTGCAAGTCGGGCTCTATCCTACTGGTTGTATGACCACATTTTGGTTTCCTGATGACATTAAGACTCGGCTTCTTCTTCTTTAAAGTGTGGATATGCTTACCTGGAAACCCAGTGGCAGCTAAATGAGATGATGTATATGAAATGAATGATCAGAGGACCTCATGGGTACTCAGAAAATGTTAATGTCTTTCCCTCCTTTCTAAACATTCATGGAATATGAGAGAGCTGTTTGACTCACAACACACATTATGAAAACATAAGCTCAAAAATTTGAACATAAAACATTTTCAATACGAATGCTTCAACATAAAAATGCCAACCTGTGTGTTTGTGTATGAAGGCATGTATGGGTGTGTGTTTTCTGCAAACTTTCCCCCTTGCCTGGTGTCCCCTTGTCTCACCACTCTTTGTCCACCTTGTGAAGAGCTTCCATCTTTCACAGCCCTACTCCTCCATCGCCGCTCCCAGGCAAGCTTCTGATGACTGCTGGACCCTCTGCCCTTCCTTCCACACTTCAACTGCGCTTGCACTCTATTTATTTAATATCCAGCTTAGTTTTGTGCTTCTCTCTCTCTGAGACTCTAGGCTCTCATTTATCTTTCCCTTCGTAGCTCCTAGCACAGTGTTTGGTGCCCATGAGGAGAGGAGGGGAAAGAACAGGAGGTAATAATAGTACAAATGGGTGTATCAGAGTCAAGGAAGCCGCCCCAGTGCATTTCAGTCTCTCCGAATGCCGACTTGTTAGAGAAATTAGAGACTAGAGAAACCCCACGTTGATGAGTTAGGATCTACTACTACTTGAAAACAACGAGGATGATAAAATGAAATGATTATGGAATTAATGTATATAAATGAATACATAACCTCCATTATAAATATAGCACAATTCAGTTTGTCTCTGTTTTAAAATATTTTTGGATTTTGCTATTGTATTTAGCAGTAGGAGGTGATGGCATTTCAGAATCAATGTATTACCTTCTCCTAAGAACATTTATTAAGCCTTTACTGTGTTCCAGGTAATATGCTAAGTACTTTATATAGAAGAACTGCACGAAAGCCATAGCACACAGGTACCATTGTTATTGCCAAGCTACAGAAGACCCACCTTGGCTCTGAAAGCTGAAATTCGTTCAATATATGGCAGATAAATATGATTTTAAGACAATTTCTTTAGGTCTAAAAAACTGGAAGTATTATGAAACAGTGAAAAATCCATAATCTATCTAGTTAGTTTTCTAGATAAAACAATAAGTGTCAAGAGAATGTCCAGAAAAAAAAAAATCCTTCAAGTACTGATATTTGTAAAAAATGATTTAGTTAAAAGAGAAAAGCTGGATAAACAGCTTACATTAAATGAATCTCCAAGGATATGAAACACCAAGAAAATTGTATCATCATTCACATTTTGACACAGAAACCCCGAATTTTCCCATTTTACACCATTCTTAACATTTAGCCTTGTTTGACGTTTTTGCATTATCAAAATATGCAAAAGACGTTGACTTTCACTTTTGACACAGATGCAGTTAAAAAGCAAAGATCAGAGTGAACGGAGAATATTGATTTAATTGTAAACATTAAAAGGAAAAAACAGAGGCATTCCAAAATAACCGGTAAAACAAGTTGAAATTCTCTCCAGCTTTTGCAAATACTGGTAGGCACATGCTGATATGCAAATCTTAACTCTTCTGATAGTACTGTGGACATGATGGGGAGACACAGCATTCAGAATGCAAATTTGATTTCTTCTCCGATTTTAGATAGAAACAGTAATTGCCCCTTCTAGGATGTCGAAAATGAATGAGAAAAGAAGGACACAGATGGAATTTTTCTTTTAACTGAGTAATTGCAGAGAGCAAACACTCCCTTTTCTCTAACCCCAGTTCTAACCAAATTCTCTCTCGTGCTCTTTCCTGTATGTACACTGTGTATGACTATGTATTTTTTCTTTGTTTAAATTATAGGATTGCAATAGGATTCTTTGCAGTCGAGGCACTGAAGTGACAGCTGTTTATCATTATCCTCATCAAGGGAATGTAAAATAAAAATAGTAATTTGTCTCTGATCTTTGAGGCAAAAAAGAAGGGTCTGCAAACATTTAACCTTTTATGTGCAGGTTCAGTGATGCTGTTTACAAAATGGGAGTAATATCGTAGGAACCTGCTTTCATCTGGAAAGTACAATAGACAGGCCTTCCTAGTGCAATTTTTTTTCTAAGCACCTTTTGAGAAATCCAATTCCATTTAAACAATACAAATGTTAGCATTGTAAATGGGAAGTTATTCATAAAAATAACTATAACTTTCTTAAGAGATTCTTTGCACAGTGTTTTAATTTTTGTAAAATTTTTACAAAATTTTAATTTCGTACTTTCTTTGAGAGCCTTACTACCTTAATAGGTGAGCGAATGAAAGTGTTGAACTAGAAATTGTTCTCACCAGACCTTGAAGCATCCATCATGTAAGCTCTGGTTTGACTGGGATGTGTTATGTTGCATGAGTTTTGTGTTTATATCTTTGCTTTTTCTTATATCTCTCATTTGATTATGTCATAGGTTTATTTGAGGACCATTGAAACTATCTCAATAAGGTTGGTGACTTCAAGTTTTTAAAAGTTGAATAATACCAAGTATCCTAGCAGTATATAAGCATACAAATACCATAAAGCTAATGGGGGAGGTTTTCATCTTTGTCACCAACAGAGAATATTGGCCAATAATCCTTATATATACACAAGTGATTTTTCCAGATAACTGATGTTTGTCCCCTTTTAAGCATTTATTATTATTATTATGCAATTCTCTACTACTTTAAAGAAAGAGTAAAAAAAAATCAATTAACTTTTTCTTCATGAATCAGTGTTTTGTTATGAACCACTAACACCATGGTAATGCACCTTTGAACCTTCCAGCCTCACATTATTGAGAATGTCTTCACTGAGAATCTTCTCCCACACCCAAACATTCACATGTAATTGGACAAGGCTACAAGGATCTGGTTAGGGTGGTGTTGGTGCACTCCACCATCAAAAGTCATCTACAAATATTGAGATAAAATATGTGTTTTCCCAAATGCTACGAGAATGCCCAAATACAGTCCCACAAGAGTAAACATAAGACAATTCTTTATGATGTTGGTCATGCTGATGGCTCTTTTTGACTCAGAGTGATTCCTTTGCTCCTGCTAATTCTGTTAATATCAATTTATCAAAATGTTTACCTATTTAAGTAATCAAATATTATAATCACAAGAGAAATTCCAGTAGTTTCATTTATAAGAAGAAAACACCCGAAGACTAGGGGAAAAAAATGACCCAAGAGTAATCTATGTTTT